TATTTGTTGCTGAGATATATATTTTTTCCTGGTATATATACACACCAATATATATTTGTTGCTGATATATATATAAAATTTGTTGCTGAGATAAATATATATATTTGTTGCTGAGATGTATATTAGATAGATAGATAGACAAACAGATAGTTGTTGACCGTACTAACAAAGGCCTGAATCCCTTTCACAACCATTGTCATTTATCAAATTCATAGTTTCCAGAGGCATGCTGCTTAGGAAGTGGATGCCGCTCCTGCTTCCAAATATTTATTTGTATATATATATATATATATATATTCATTCTGTGGAGTGGTCTTTGATGAGTAACAATCTTAAACATAGCAGAATAAAATCTTTTCACACACTGCTCCATCTCCTCCAATTGTTGCTGCCTCTATGGCAATCTATCTTTTTAAAAATCTTCCTATTTTACTGATACTTTTTCGGTATGATATCCTATCTCCAGCACTGGCCACTATAAGTAGCATGCCCAAAGTAAGTGAAATGAAATGTCACCATCCTTGACTAGATGTGTATATTTTTGTGCCAGTCTATACTAACTACAATATTCTTCACCAACCCTATAATTGTTGTTGATTGCATTGGAGTCAAGCACTCATAGCGATCCTATGAACCAAAGGCCTGAAGCTCCTTTAAAACTATTGACATTTATCAACATTCATAGAGTTTCAGGAGGCACGTTGTTTGGCAAGTGGATTCCACTCCTGCTTCCAAACTTGTCATAGTATGTTATTGCTGTTATGAGTTGTTGAGTTACCTTCAATTATAACGACCCTATGTACAGTAGTTCTGAACTTTTCCCAACCATATAATTAAAAGACATTAGTTCTTCTTTGATCTTCTTTGATTTTCCAACTTTCAAGTTCATATGAAGCAACCAAACATGCATGGATAGTGTCAGACACATTTTACTCCATAAACTGACATAACTTTTCTTTGTTCTTTACCACCTTATAAAAGTCCTTTACAGTAGATTTGCCATTGCAACAATTTTTTTTCTATGTGACTGCTTTTATTATATTTGTTGTGGCTCAAAGTAAAACAAAATTAATAGAAACTTTATGGACAAATTATATTTAATATATAATTTATTACTAACCCTTGTTATGTTTCCAAAGGTTCCATATATCTCTTTCTATCCCCTATCATACCTACAACATGCCCTGCACACTGCAAAGGTTTATAAATTGGCTCACTATGCTATTAAATCTACTATTCAGACTTACTTTACTATTATATCTACTAGCCATAATTTGAATGCAGGCACCTTTAATCCAGAGCCCATCAGCTACATTTTTTAAAGGAAAATAGCTACTTTAACTGTGAAAAAAATTATTGATAATTATTTGATCCTGTTTCCAAATGCGATCTACTTTTGAATTAATTATATGACAGGAAAAACAAAAGTGAGAGAGATTTTCTTAAAACTTCTTTATGATTTTTTTCTACTAAATAACTTAGATATTGTACATCTTAATATCATGTTGTTGTTGTAGTTGTTAGGTGCCATTGAGTCATATACAACTGGTGTATGCATGTGTGCTAAAATATATCTATATCTATCTCTCTATCTATCTGTCTCATCTATACCTGTATCTATATCATCTATATCTATCTATACATTTATCCTTGGTAAGTATATGACATAATTCTAAAATTTCCAATTATCTTGCTTTGAATGCATCTACATTTTTCAAAATAACTTAGAGACTAGAACATTCTAGTCTACCAAACTGTAAAATAAGATGTTCAAATACAATTGAAGAATACAAGTGTTCTTCCCATTATCTAACTTGACCATGCAAGTACATTTTCAGCCTAAGTCAAGTTAAAACTATACAGAATTATGCACTGAACAATGAGACAGGTCAGCAAAATGGATAGCTAGAGGATGCAAGTGCAGAGCAGCACTACGCAGGTGGAGAGGAACTGAGGCAGTCTGATGTGCTGAGGATGGGTGACTTGGAAGCTTAACATCTGTGAATGGACCACTAACCCCGAACTCCCAGTAGTGCCCAAGCCCTGCCCCCTGCTCCCACCCCTGGTGGTGACACACCAGACTCGTGGTCCTCTGCCCCACCCCTGCTCCAGCCCTGCACCCCCGGAAGCACCCCAGGGCCACTAGAGACTCTTTCACACTGCACAGATACTCACAAACACAGCAAGCCATGGACAGTAGGATTTTGAATCAGAATTTTTTTTTTAACAATTCATTTTGGAGCTTCAGGAACACAAAGCCATGCCACAGATCCAGCCATTACCTGAAGCCACCAGCTGAGCTGCTGTGGGAGAGGAGCTGCTGTGGCAGGAGAAAGGCCAGCAGGATCCTGACTGGATTTTTCTGGTCACCACTGATGACCTGGGAGAGGACCCAAGGATGAGCTCTCTTGGGCCATACCTACTGCCCAGGAGCGAGCAGGCCAGTGGGAATGTGTCTGAACTTTTGTGGACACTGCAGACCAGGCAGAGGCAAGTGGGGTGGTGGGAATTTGACTTTGACTTCTCAGATCCCATTGGACCCAGGACCCTGCTTGGGTAGAGGCCACTGCACGAGGACACCTGGGTAGGTGTCACTGGGCAGGAACTGCTGAGTGAAAATCCTGGGTGGGAGACAGACAGCTGGAATTTCAGTGGGGACCCCAATTATGAACACACCCTGACAGCTAAGATCTGAGTGAGGCCCCCCAAGTGGTTCACCTGCCCTTGTGATAACCCCACCCTATTTGGCTCTACAGCTGTGCCTACACATCTGGTCAATTAACTTGCCATTAATCAGGAGAACCTTGACCTGTCTTACCTACAGGAGGCTGCTCTCACAGGCTCTAAACTGACATTTCCCTGGAGTCAGAAATTTAAAGAAAAACACAAGTGGGATAGCTACCCAACTGATCTCTAGATCATTATCTTCAGGTCAAGAACATATCAATGTCTCAAGGAAAGCTAGCTACCCCACAAACTACATAAGTGTAAAGCGAGATGTCACCCCCAAAGGGTGGCACAGTATCAATGAATTTCCTGAAGTTAGAAAGTCTGAAGGAACTTTCTGACAGAATTTAAAAGAACAATGATTGAATATTTTCAATGGATGAAAGACAAACTTGAAGAATTACAGGAACTACACGCAAAAACCAGGAGGAGATAAAAAAAAAAATCCAGAACTATGTAGATTAAAAAATAAAACAAAGCAAAACAAAAAAAGAGGCATTAACAGCACTGGAAAAACAAGAAACCACTATTCAAAATATGAGATCCAATGTTTCAGATGCTGTCAACATGATGGAAGGACACATGAGCAGAGTTGAAGAGATGGAACACAGAACAAGTGAAATAGAAAACAGAATTGTCACCAATGATCTGTTAGAGCAAAAAGAAGACTCAAAAAGGAAGAAAAAAGAAGAAAACCTAAGAAAAATGTGGGACACCATCAAGAGAAATAACATGCACATAATTGGAATCTTAGAACAGAAAGAAGCAAGTAAAAGCAGCTGTGAAAGAATTACTAGAGGAAACTTCCAAGATAATGAAGAAAGAGAGAATATATATACAAGAAGCTCAGCGAACACCATATAGAATAGACCCCAAAAGAAAAACACCAAAGCATATCACAGTTAAATTTGCCAGAACCAAAGATAAGGAGAAAATTGTGAAATTAGCAAGGGAGAAACAAAGAGTAACCTGTAAGGGAGAACAGATAAGAAAAAGTGATGATTTCTCATCAGAAACCATGCAAGCAAGAAGAGAGTGAAAGGACATATATCAAACACTCAAAGAGCACAACAGTCAACCAAGAATACTGTACCCAGCAAAATTATCCATCAAATGTGAAGGAGAGACCAAAATATTTCCAGAGAAACAGAACCTAAAAGAGTTTGTAAAAACAAGATCAGCATTGCAGGAAAGACTCAGAGATGTCCTTCTCACAGAGGTACCACAGAAGGCAGCATAGACCAAAGTAATTAGCAACAACACCATAAAGAATTCAACACAATGATAGCAATAAAACCTCGCCTCTCTATAATCACACTGGATGTAAATGGTTTAAATACACCACTGAAGAGAAAAAGAGTAGCAGGTTCGATTAAAAAAAAAACACCCCAAAATCCATCAATATGTTGTCTACAAGAGACACACCTAAAAAATGAAGATAAAGACTAAAAATAAAAGGGTGGGGGGAAATTTTCCAAACAAATGGCAACCAGAAAAGCAGCAATAGAGATATTAATCTCTGAGAAAATAAATATCAATGTAAAAATCATTAAAAAGGACAAGAAAGGGTCAATAGAATAAGAGAACACAACAAAAATAAATATCTATGCACCAAATGAAATGCCTTCAAAATACATAAAACAAACATTAACAAAACTGAAAAAGGAAATAGACAACACTACTATAGTACTTGGAGACTTTAATACACCACTCTCAAGAAAAGAACTACCAAAACGAAACTCAACAAAGATACTGAAAAATTAAAACACACAATAAACCAACTTGACCTCAAAGATATTATAGGCTAATGAACCCCCAAAAAGCACAGTATACCTTCTTCTCCAATGCACATGGAATGTTTTCCAGAACAGATCTCATTCTAGGTCACGAGACAAGCATCAATACATTTGAAAAAAAGTATAGAAATAAAACAAAGCATCTTTTCAGTCTATAATGCTACAAAATTAGAAATTAATAACAAGAAGGTAAAGGAGAAAATAAAAAACCTAACATGCATCTTAGAGCTGAACAACACCTTGCTTGAACATGGCTTGGTACTAGAAGAAATAAAAATTAAATTGAAAAGTTTCTTGAAAGAAATGATAAGGAAAACAACCACTTACCAAAACCTCTGGGAAATAGCCAAAGCAGTAATCAGAGGTCAATTCATAGCAATAAGCAAGCACATCAAAAGGCAGTGAAAATTGATCATTGACTCTCTAACCCAATATCTCCAGAAAACTGAAAAAGGACAGCAAGGAAACAAAACACCCTCTAAAATACTGGACATTATAAAAATTAGAGCAAAAATAAATGAAATAGAAAACAAAAAAAACCCAATTGAAACTATCAACAAAACTAGGAGTTGGTTCTATGAAAATGTCAATTAAATCGACAAACCATTAGCAAAACTCACAAAAGAAAAGCAGAAGACACAAATAATCAGAATAAGAGATGAATCAGACAACATTACAAGAGAACCAACTAAAATAAAAAGACTAACATTAGACTATTATGCCAAATTATACTCAAACAAATATGAAAACCTAGAAGGAATGGACAAATACTTAGAAATGCACAACCTACCTAGACTGACACAAACAAAAACTGGATATCTAAACAGACCCATTACAAAAGAAGAAATTGAAAAGGTAATAAAACAACTTCCAACCAAAAAATGCCCTGGACTAGATGGTTTTACAAATGAATTTTATCAAACATTCAGAGAAGAACTGTCATCAATTCTCCATAAACTATTTCAGAAAACAGAAAAAGATGGAACTCTCCCAGATTTATTCTATGAACCAAATATATCCTGATACCAAAGCCAGGAAAGGACACCGCCAAAACAGAAAACTATAAGCCAATATCTCTTATGAACATAGATGCAAAAATCCTGAATAAAATATTGACCAATAGAATTCATCGATATGTCAAATAAGTAATTGATCATAACCAAGTGGAATTCATAACAGGTATGCAAGGATGGTTTAACATAACAAAAACATTTAATATAATTCAT